GTGAGAGAGAGAAAGAGGGGGGGGGGGGTTGTGGGGAAGTTTATTCAAATGTTCAAATCAAAGCGGGTGTTTATTCAAAAAATATCAGTATTGATATTGTGGGATACGACGTTGAGGGCAGTATTTGAATGTGTTTGGCGCGAAGAAGGTGTATATTGTCAATGTCGGGAAAATAAATGTATACTGTATACAGTAGTATACATATAACAAACGAGGCTTTTGTTGATTTGATAGTAAGTATACATGATTGATATTTCTTATGAAATCTTTGAAGCCACTCCTTAGGGCCTGGCTAGTTAGTTAGGCCTAACAAAGCAGGCCCTACGTACCTAGCCTAGGGAGGCCTACCTAGCTAGCTAGGGCCGGGGGATAGGCCTAGCTAGGTCGAAAGATACTGTAGGCTAGCCTAACTAGGCCCCTTACTTGGGCCTAGTCTATAGCAGCAGCTGGAATGGACTCTGGTGGTTGTGTGCGTGTGTGGTTCAAGAATTCAATACCCATAGTACATACTACTACCAGTTCTTACAGCTACAGTCAGGCCTTTTTATCCTAGGCGTAGGCTAGTAGGTAGCTTAACGACGCTAATAAGGCTAGTGGTGGCCTACTAGGCCCTACTGTAGGCCTAGTTTATGTCTGCTTACTTATCTAGGCCTAATAACATTAATTATCAATATATTATAGTAATAAATGGCATGCCTACACTCAATCAATATATTATTATTACCATAATTGTAAGTTAATTGTTGATTATCTATTCTTAGTACTTAACTTCCAGACTGAGATTAGAGGTTTTATTTAGCTGACATTGCCACTCACTGCTGTTGCGTGGAATTCAGGAATGATTCATCCAGCGTGATTTAATGAAAATGATAGGATTGATGGAGAGCTCAGAGCAATGGAAGGTGAATATGAAATTGTTCTCTGCTCAAAAGTACTGTAATATGATACTAATAGATTTATAATAGGCCTAAGATACCTGTTGCTGGTCTTATTCGCTCTTTATATTTATATGAAAATAATCATTTTATTTGTATTTATATACAGTTTGGAAATTTAAAGTGTCTTTTTAATGTCAAGGCACATTTAAAAAAAAAAAAAAAAAATTAGATTTAAATCACTCTTTCTTTAAAAAAAAGTGATAAAAAAGTTTTGTTTTTTTCCTAATCGTAAAAATAGAATATTGCTTTTTTTTTTTATCGATGAGGGAGGGACTGTTTTTATTTGGCAAGAATATATCATTCTAAGGGAATATATTGTAATTATAACTAATATGTTTGTCTTTATATTTTTGGTAGCCTGCAAACAACACAGAACCTACAAAGGACGACACAGTGAAGATATGCACAACACTTGACAACTTCTTTAAGCCTATACATTCACCACCATCAGAACACAGAATGAGTAAAGATCTGCGTAGCTATTTTTCAACAAGTCCTCCAACAAACAAGACAAAGACTTATTCACAGAAGTTAGATGAGGAGTCGACTAGATCAATCCACCTAAAGTCATCAGAAACTTCTAAAAGAACATTGAACAATGAAAAATCAAAACCAGGAAAAAATAAAAGAAAGAATAGTGAGCATGTGATGCCACAGATGGAAATGGATAATAAAAATGAGGTCCATGTAATCAGCAAAGTAAACGGAAAAAATGGTGACAGAAAATTGGTTTCAAAGCCTCAAAAGCAAGCAAGGAAATGTAAGACTGGGGTTACAAAAACTAAAGTAATGGCAGTAAATGATGATGGAGATGGAACAGATGTTGCTAATTGTAGTTTTGTGTCATTTGATGACTTTCTTGGAGATGAAACAAAGTTGGAAAATCCAGTAAAAAATTCTGTGAATAAAAAAGACAAAAAACAGGAGAAAAGAAGTAAGAATGCAACAACAGACAGGAAATCCTCAGGAGATAAAGAAGTAAAACTTGATGATGAGATTTCAAAGTCTTTATGTACTGAAGATCAAATTTTGCCTGCTCTTAAGAAATCATGTAAAACCGTGGTAGTTGAAATTCATAGTTCTGTCTCCAGTACTGAATGTGAGGGAGAGAGCAAGAACAGCCCTCAACGAAGCAATTCCTTAAGAGGTTCAAATGTTGTGGTGGATTCTGGTAAGATAAATCTAAGCGAAATAGAAGTGGTTCAGTCAGATATACAAAAAAATAATGAGTTACCCTTTTCCCATACTGAATTTACGAGCAGCAACACCAGGTCTTTTCCAATATTCCAGAAAAATACCCAACAGGGTACAGTAACAGATGTAAAGCCAGCTCCTGTATTTAGTATATTTGAGAAAAAAAGAAAAAATTTAGAAAAAGAAGTTGTAGAAACACCTCAGGAAAAAACAGAAGATGCTCATAAACGAAAGCTAAACAAAATTGAGAAGGAAAGTGATGAACATTATCCAAGAAAAAGGAGGAAAAAAGCTCAGAATAATGCAGCAGACCTAAGTACAATGAGTATTGACGAGTTTGTGCCTGACATGCAAGGAAAAGAGTCGATTAAAAAATCTCGGAAGAAGCAAAAGAAAAGATGCACAAGTGATGAAACGTCACTGAAATTAAGGAGATCAACACGAGCAATCACAAATTCAACTCCCAAAAAAGAGTTTGAAGTTGAGAGCGCCATATGGGCAGATGGAACAATTCGTATGAGAATCAGAGCGAAGAAAAATACTACATCTTCACTAGTCAGAGCTAAGGTACACATTTTTCAAAGCTATTTGCTATCTATTTTGCTATCTGTTTAAATAACTGTATAACCTTTAACCTTTATTTAATTTTCATTAATCTTCTTTAACAAAATATCAACTATTATGATTTTGGTGAGTAATTAAGTGCATATACAGTTGAAATTGCCTAAGTCGAAGTCAAAATGCCATTGAAATATTGTTCAACTTAGATAAACTTCAACTTACAGATTGTTACTGTAATTAATGGAAAACAACAATTTGGCTTGTAAAATAAGATCGACCTGGAAATTATTCGACTTAGGCAAGTTTAACTGTAATGCCATAAGGAATAGGAGAGGTGAACCTGTGTCGCATACTATCAATCTATATATGTATTTTAGAGTGATGTAAAGACAGTCACAGCCAGTAAGCTACTGAAGAAAGCCAAAGGTCAAAGTGTAAAGGCCAGTACACAATCATGTAACAGTGTTGCCATGAAGTTGAAAAGTAATCAAAGCACAAGAAAACAAACAGGAAAACAAACTGCTATTAACCAAGACAAGAATGCTAAAACACAGAGAAGTAAGTCATTACCCTTTAAACTTATACAGTTAAACTTGCCTACAGTAAGTTGACTTTGCCTAACTCAAATCATTTTTGAGTCGATTAATTAACGATCTGAAAGTGGAATTTTATCGAAAAATTTTTCAATGCCATTTTGGATTTGACTTTAGCAAATTCAACTGTATAGCAAATTATTTATTTATCACATCAGAAGGCATGTGGTACAGTGGTAAACCCTTGGGCCTCCAATGAATATGTTGGTGTTCAAATCTAAAGGCAACACTTTTTTTGTGTCATTAGGTGTGGCACTTTTTCAGTCAGTTTGTCACTCACTTTGTCACTCAGGTGTGAATTCCAATGCATTACCGGTACTTATCAGCAGCTGAGTATGTGTTCTATTGGTGCTGGATTCAATAACATGAGCTGAACATGAACTAAATGTTTTTTTTTTCTTCCAGTGGCTTCCATATTTACAAAAGGTGGAAGAAAGAATGTTTCTATGAAAACAATGGGTAAATTAAAACCAGGTGTTTCGTTAGATCTAAAGCATACACAAAGCAAGACTTGTGCAGACAAGAATCCATTCCTTGTTCTGGATGAGGAGTCTCTTAAAGCTAGACGTGCTTTTCTGAATAGGGACGCTGTCCCTGATGTCCACAAACAAACAAACAACACTATCAACGTGAATGACTTGCAGGAGCCGCCACTGCCCTCTATACAACACATTCTTCAGAAAGGTAAACTCCCTCATACAATTTGGCTATCTTACTGCGCAATTCATTAACTGTACTACTAGTAATCATTAATTATGGTGTCTCCTTCATCAATGGTGATAATATTCGGAAATGTTTTTGATATGTGATGCTATTCCTCAGAGAATCGTATATTCATTAATTGTTATGATATATATTTACCATACATAAATAAAACTGTATATAAACAATGATTTCAATATAGTAATTAAAAACTTACTGTATGATAAAGCCAATTTTGAGGAGTAAACAAAGATGACACAGCCTGCTAATGATGATTGCTTCATTAACAAAGATATAATTATTTGATTAATATTTATTTATTAATTATAAATTCCTGACATATAAATTTGTTTTTGTGAACAGATACAAATCCTCTATGGAATATACCGAAGGTGAACTTAAAAATACGAACAATGGATGATGCAAAAACGACTGGAACTCAACAAAGCTTTATGTGGAATATCAAAAAAATTGACAATGCTCACCAAAAATACTTAATAAAGGTATTAAGAACTTGAACATAAAGGAATTATAGAAAACCACCTCTTAGAGTAACATTGATTATTAACATACAGTATGAGGTACAAGAAACAACACTATTTATCAAACATGGAAATATTCATGTAAGTTAAAACCATTAAGTTAAACCAACTAATCATTCCTGAAACTCCTAATACATGTAGAGGGCGGCCCACAACATCGGGAAACAACAAATCAGCAAACCAGAAATCTCATAATTTAACTTAGTCTATGTAGATCATCTTGTGTGTATGTTTGTCTTGTGATGGGATTGCCACTTTGAAAAGTGATTAAGTTCACTGTTTGACATACCCTTGGCACTAGTGCCTAAAGCTGAATAAAAGAAAAAAGATTGAGTAATGTTTGCTTTTCTCTGTCAATAATTTTCTATTTTCAGGATTTCTCTGGCCATTCTGAATTTTCATATGAAACACAACGAACACTTTTGAATAAGTTGAGTTTAGAATATCCAAAATTTCCAGTTCGGAGAATTTTTAAAAGATACCTGGCTAAGTGCCGCGGTCACACCGACTCCAGTAAAGTGGCAAAGAAGGGTGAATCTGATGGAAAGGCCATAAACGAGAATAAACCTACTAAACGAAAATCAGCATTGCCTGTAGAGAATGAAGATAGAAAAAAGCGGAGAAAAATTCCAGAAAATGAAGGGAAAAGTTCAAAAACAGCTTCTAAGGAAAAGAAAACAAAAGACCTGGATAAGTCAGTACGACCTGTTAGGCAAACTAGGAAAAAGGGGACTGTTGCTATGGATGATAAAAAGGAAGAAATGGAAAAAAAGGATTATAAGAAAAATGAAGGAGGAGATTTATTATCGACTGAGAAAGAAGATAGTGCATCTGCTGGTAAGGCAGATGCTCAGCTGTGGACAGAGAAATACCAACCAACAAGCATTCTGGAGCTCATTGGTAACCAAGGCAATATGAAAAAACTTCAATCCTGGTTAACAGAATGGAAGAAATTAGCAATCAGGGAAAAGAGAAAGATTAAGAAGGAAATAAGGCAGAATAGTAATTCACAAGGAAATAAAGGTTGGAATGTTTTTTGGCCGATGCTTTTATCATTAATAATGTTATTTTTTCACATCATTATTATAAACGTATTGGTGTTCATGCTTATTATATCTTCATTATTATTTGAAGGAAAAACTTCCTTCCCCAGCATTCAACCTGCCCATAAATTGTTGGAAATTTACATGTGTATTTATACTGTATATATATGATTTTTTTTTTAAAATTCCTTGTTTAATTTATTGCAGTACATGTTTGATGCACATAAAAAATGAATTATCAACAAGTTTGTATCATTATTTTCTTAACCTTACATAGAATGGTGGATTCAGGATGATGATAGTGATTATGAGTTCATTGATGATTTTGATAGCGATGATGATGACGATGAGTATGATGGGCTCTGCAATACCAAGATACTGGTTGGACCAAGTGGGGTGGGCAAGACAGCTGCAGTGTATGCTTGTGCGAGTGAGCTAGGCTTCAAGGTCAGAAATCTCAAATCATTTCTGTTCTTCCAACTGTTTATGTATGAGTTTGTCTATATCAAGACAACTTAATTTATCTTCTTCATAGAAAATATATAAACTAGAGACTTTAAAAAAATATACAGTAATTAAATGATTGTAAATATAAAATAACCAATAAGTCCTTGCATGTTTATGCCAATGATTCCATTCCCATTAACTGTATTCTGGAAATTATACACCTGTAATTTTAAAATTGTGATTTTTGTTAATAATTGTACACCTATGTTTCTTGGTCTTAAAGCTAATACTCTAGAATATAAAACAAGATTTACTTTTATTTTCAGGTATTTGAAGTGAATGCATCAAACCGCAGGACAGGTAAGCAGATACTTACGGATCTTGGTGAAGCCACCCAGTCACATCACGTCGCTAGGCAATCTGTCAGTGGACCATTGGCAAGCTTTCTGTCAGTTCAAGGGTCACCAAAGAAGTTAGCAAATCCAGCAAAGACTAAAGTTGGCATTCAAAATTTCTTCAAGCCGACTGCAACTCAGGCCGTGAAGACAAAACCAAAGAAGCTATCAGAAACATGTAAGTGATGTTTTAACGTATATTTCAACATTGGTTTCCTTTTCAGTGAATTTCAGGCAGCGACTGATTTACCTGTAATTTTGTGCTACCTCAAAATTGCAATTCATTGATATGTCCTGGTTGTTCTAACGCATTCTGTCAAAAAATTCTTAAAAAATCCTTTTTATTGGCTTGGTGAGGGGGCATTGGTCTCTTCCACAGAAGAATTAATCCCCCTGTTCCTGTACCACAAGTCAGTTTACTCTCTGGAGATGCATGCTTATTAACAATCCTTATACAGTATGTGTGTTATTGATATATACAGCAAAATTTGAATACAGTAATTGTTGTGACAGGTGCAGCCAAGGTGCCACCTGCTGTGAAGGAAGAGGAGCATGTTCTACCTATCAAGAAAATCACTAGCACTTCACTCATATTCTTTAAAGATGTAAGACAAGCCTTCTTATTCTTATATTATTCAATCATTTTTTAAGTTGTGTGTATGACAGTAGTGAATTAACCTCTTTTTAGAGGCGAATTTATTTGAATAAACGCCCCTCTAGAGCCTCAGTTTGTGTGTACTTTTTGAACTTTTTTACCTTTTTATTGGCATTGTTAACAGGTAGACATTGTGTTTGAAGAAGACAAGGGATTTGTAGCAGCAATCAACAGCTTCATGGAAACTACTAAAAGACCTATAATAATGACAACCTCTGACCCCACAATATGTTACGATTTCAGCAGCCACAGTGAAACACTTCACTTTAGATCGCCATCTGTAGTAAGTACTTATTTCTTTCACATTCAAAAAACTGGTACCAATAAACAAGCTAGAAAACTACTGAATTATAATCTGCCTCACTCAATACAGGTGACAACCCAAAAAATGAAATTGTGTGGTCCAAGCCTGACCAACCTATAATCTCGAAAATCTAGGGTTTGTCTTGAATAAACTTATAAAAAGGAGCTTTATTAAAAGTATGATACATGAATCTGAATTTTAACCATGCTATCAGCCAAAATACTTAGGGAGAGCAATTATTGGCCTAGATTCAAGGCCAGTAGTAAAAAATAAATTTAAATCAAACCATCAAATTTCCATCTAACATAAAAGACTTTTTTTTAAATAGGATCAATTAGCAGTGAATCTGCAGTTGATATGCCTTGCAGAGAATGTGTTGGCACAACGTGAAGATTTGATACGTCTTGCAAATTTATTGAATTGTGATGTGAGGAGGTGTATAACAGCGCTTCAGTATTGGGTAGGATCAGGCGCTGGGATAAGTTGGTGTGCAGAGAATTTGTCAAGAACTGATCATAGTTTGGTAGATGCGTCTGAAAATCAACAACCAGAAGCAGAATTCAGAACAACCAAAGACATCAAAGCAGATGCTAAATCATTTAAAATGGAAATGGATATGAACACTGATTTGTCACTGGATGTCAAACAACATTCTGGATGTTTTGAAAGCACAATTGGACTGCTTAATTTGCAAAACAGTTTAGAAGAAATGTTCAATTCTTTGCAGGTAAAACAAATAATGTACTGTATATGAACACACCAATTTACCTATGTTTTTGCCTTTTTATATAACATTCAACCTCAACTTTTATGGTTTATCATTCGCCATCAAATTTGTGACTGAAATCTGAGGTTTACATGCAAATCTCTGTCCAGATTATCAAATTTTCTTTGACAAAAACTTGCCCATATATAGTCATGATGTGCCCATATATAGTCATGATGTGATGTGATCAGGACCATATTTAGGCATGATTTAAAATTGTAACTTGATTGATCGGGTCTTAGCATTTTTTATATTTTTCATTCTTGTTAAAAAGAAAACACTGGTGATTAAGGACCTTGGCATTGGAATGCAAGCCAAGTTCCTTTCCCACCACATATGGTCACGATGACATCACATCATGACCATATATAGGCACATCATGACTATCTATGGTCACGATCACATCACATCCATATATAGGCATACAGTTTTTTGTCAAAGAAAATTTGATAGTGCGGACAGCTTTATTCTGTATGTATTTATTATTTCAGGAACCTTCGGAACGCTTGTCATCTTTCTGCAACCAGTGTGAACTAGTTTCAGTATTCAGTCAACATGGAACAAGCATCATACATAATAACCTCGAATCACTGTTACCATGGATACATTACAAAGAAAAGACTGACAAAATCATTGATGACAAACACAAAAGAAAATCTGATAAAATAATTGATACATTTTCTGCTTTAGCAGAAGACATGTCATTTATGGATGCGTGCTGTAGCTTAACAGAAAAGTCAAAAGTCATTACTGGATTGTCTGATTTACCAGATATGGCAGATAATGACTGGCAGAGACAGTCATGTATGTCTGACATTATTGCAGCCATCCAGGTTGCAAGTTTCCAACAATGTAGAAAGAATATTGAGGAAGTTGGGATGGAGATACATGGAAGTGATGATCCTGTCTTTCCAGTTGGCAGTCAAAATTCCTTCAAGATTCAAAATAAAACAGAAATTCAAAGAAGGTAAGTATAATCTCCTGTCTTATTCACTAATGGGTACATATTTCTCTGCCATTGGGGTCAAGAAAAAAGCATTCACGTTGCGGCCCTGGTCCTACAATCCTTTCACCATTATACATGAAAACCATATTGTCAAGTTTTTAGAACTAAATCAACATGACTCCAAAGAGTATGAACTTTTGAATGCACTCGATAAGAAGAAGCTCAGCTATGCCAAAAGAAAAACCAGAGATACCGGAGATACCAAGGTAAATTTGCATTTAAACTGGGAAAAATATGCAGCAGACAAACAGACATTTCTGGTGTTGTTTGATAAACACCACCGTTTGTAAGGCTTTATCAACACTATCAAATATTCTTTTACAAAAAAACTGTATATGGTATACATGTATGTATATGTATATATATATATATATGTATATATTTAGACATGTCACATGGTTTATCCACTGCACTCATGAGTTGAAAATCACATAGGCTATCAAATTAAAAAAAATAATTATAATTATTCATAAATATTCTTACATTACAGATCCATGATTGCCAGTGAAGTTATGTATGAGTTGGTGACTTCCAAGCTACCTCTATCAGTGTATACTAATCAACGCAGTCTTGGTCTTGACTACTACCCCAGTCTTCGCAATATTTGTCAGAATGAAAAACTTAGAAAAGAATTGCAGAAGAAGAGAAGGCAAGTGGTTAATGGTTTTGATTTGTAGAGCGCAAAATAATAGGTTGGTAGGTTGGCGATTAGATGCTGGATTCACTCCCAGGTTCCTGGGCTCAAATTTAGTGATTCTTTTTCTCAAGGCCAAAAAAAAATATTTGCATGAAATGACAATTTATAAAGCGTCACACCTTATTAACTTAAAATGTGCCCTAAAACTGAGTTCATAAAGCATCACATATTTTTATTGCTTTAAAAGTGCACCTGAATATCAGCTGCGCGTTCCTCTGCGCTTAATATATACAGTAGCGGTACAAAATTTCCTGCACGTCTGGACGCTTTTAAAGTTCTGGTAACAAGGACAAGAACAGCAGTGAGGCTCTGGGGTCAACGCCTTACGCGGACCTAACAATTTATAGGGAAAAACATAATTTCACTTGCCATATCGAGTAATACTTGCCCACAACACAGGTTAGCAACATAAAGTATTACTTGTCCAAGGAGCAGAAAAAAAAAATAAATACGTATCCTTAAATAATTTTCAAATGTGTATCTCTTTTTAGGTATCTGCACTACTTGGATTCAATATCAATGGTGTTGAAAGAAAATACGCATGTCTTACTAGCCACATCCCTACAGACAAGTGAAGAATTACCAACTACCAATTGATGCTATTATTCTATTCAACTTAATAATGTAATCTTTTATGGTAATGTTTATTTTTAGACAATAACACATTTCAAAGGTTTACACTACTATTCTCTAATTATGACCAGATACATTTTCAAAATGTTAGGATTGATTATTAGTACAATACTACCCAGGCCTGGTACTACAGTATACTGTATTTAAGGAATTCACTATTTTATTTGTAATTCGGCGATATTTCTGGTATAAATTAATGTACAAAGCTACAATATTAACTGAATGAAATAAACCAAGAAATATGCTAATATTTCTGCCCTAATACAAAGAGGATATACTGAAAATGAAATTTAAAAAATAGTGCAAATACTTGTAGAAGCAGTCTTATGACACTAGCTTTATTTTCTTGATACTTCAATTGATTCAAATTTTCTAAGTCTAAATACAGTATCATATTTTTTAAAAATTGTCAATTGAAATGTTGAGATAAATGAATTAACTTTTCCTAATGACAAATGATTTAGTTTTGATTACCGGACTGCTTTAAAAAGCTAAGTAATTGTAGATATGTACTAGAGTTTGGTGTATTTCATCAGTGATTTAGAATCTTGAAATGGCAAATGTATATGTCGATATAAGTAGTCTTCTAAAACAAAATATTTGTACATCAAATCCTGATCATTTAATTACCAACCTACACAGGCAATTGGTATCTAAATTGAAGGTTAGTAGAAATGGAATTAAACAATAATTATTATTTTGAATTTTTTTTCTTTAAATAAATAAGTTAATTTAATAAAGGAGTATAATTTATGTTGTTTTATTTTAGGAGTGAATTAACTCACCAACTAATGTGTGTTTACATTTCACATTTATGTTCTATTGTCAAGATTTAGTGCGTGGGTGTAAATTTTGTATTCATGCATTCTTTTCCAAAACACAATCTGTATCGACTTTTTTTTGCCACATTAAATTTTAAGAGTAAATAAATATTCTACGATGGATTTGTATTGTATTGTATTTGTATTTATATTTGATGGCAGTGTATCGATCTTTATTGCAAAAATTTTATAACAAGGCAGTGGCGGCGTTCTCCGCGAAAATTCGGTAACAATGCAATGTAGGACGAACTCTAGCAAAAAAATTACTTTTCAACTTTGAGATAGAAAATCGTTAACTGAAAATTGCGCATCTTGCATGCAAATTCTGTAACAACCTTGGTAACATATAAGAAAAAAACAATTATGCTTTTATTTAGAGAACATTAATGCTTCTATTTGTTGCGCATAAAATCTTTGGTGTATTGTCATTGTTTTCACTTAATATAGCAGGCTGGCCATTAACGAGAAGTGCATAGAGGCCTTGGTATAAATGCACTATATAAGTTATGACATTGTTTCTTGCTTAGGGACGCTATCAGAATTGCCATAATTTGAAGATAATGGGCAAAGCACAGATGCATTTGGTTTATTATGGGAAATAAACATTGCATGTGTTGCAATATAGCTTCATCCTACAGTCCAATTGGCTGGTATTATGTTGCATACTACATACATTTTCAAGTGAAGTACAGTGGGTGCACAACAGTTCCAGCAATATTACCCACACTTCCAGTCATGCCTGTTCTGGTGCGATAAAGTAGTGCAAAACTGATAAATTAACATGAAGTAAACATTAACGACTGCAGCAAAGGGGTTTGGGTCTAAATGAAATTACTGTACAATAAAACCTTAAACAGGAAATTTATATATTGTAATTATTTTATTGTGTTTTTTTTAATATCATGTAACATTAAACTACAGTCGGCATATGCAAACAAAAAAAATGAGATGATTAACATATCTTCTACCCAGTGGTGTAATGCCTATGAACTTTCAGGGACAAAGCCCTGGGCCACCAGTATTCTTATAACAGAGGTTTGACATTATGGTCTAGTAGAAGACAAGCAAAACTAGTGAATTAAAAACAATGTTATTCCTGGTTGTGGATTTGTATTTTATGCAAACATCAATTCCCAACCCAAAGGTGTTGTACAGCCCAGCTCCACTACAAAAAGAAATTTAATAGAAATAATGAAGAAAAAACTACTCCAGAGATTGAATACAAATCAAATTATAGTAGACTACGATATTATGGATATTCTAATGTGAAGGACTCCTCGACCACATTTATGACGCTTGTAACCGATTATTAAAAAGCGCATGGGGGCCCAACATGTTCTCACCCCAGGGATCCATGATTCCCCATTACACCACTGCTTATAGCCTGTCTCTTATACACATCTAGATGTGTATAAGAGACAGCCTTTCACCATTATACATGAAAACCATATTGTCAAGTTTTTAGAACTAAATCAACATGACTCCAAAGAGTATGAACTTTTGAATGCACTCGATAAGAAGAAGCTCAGCTATGCCAAAAGAAAAACCAGAGATACCGGAGATATCAAAATACATCATTGAACCTAGCAAAGATTCAGCAAAAATACACATATTTTAGAATTATCATAATTCATCTGGATAAAATAGAGGATTTCAGGCTGAAACCACGTCGAACCCACGAGAGTCGCTTCTAAGCGGTGTCAACAAATCTGACAGTGATCCGAACGCAAAATTAAGGATTGATGTTTGTTTGGTTGGCAATTTAATAATTTCAGCGTCATGCCACCTCGTCGTAGTGTTCGGACAAAGGAGGTTCAAGTTTATCCGACAGAGGGAAATTTCCCCTACCCACCTACTGGCAAAGCTACTGGTCTACCATGCATTTTAGTTACGCAGGTCACTTTGTAAGAGACACGTGCTGCTTCACCTAGCACGCGTTTGTGGTTACATGTGATTGTGGTTACACAGTACACAGAACATATTGTTTTCAGCAAAGGAAAAATAAATGACAGGAAACCAGCTGTGACATTTGTTTTCTAAAACTGACATAATGAGAGGTAAAATCGCTGCAGTGCAATGCACCGATGTGTTGAATATCTGCGATACGTCGATTCGACAGGAAACCAATTTTTTTGTTGAATGAACTCGTCTTTGTCATTACAATCGCTAAGGAAAATTTAACTGGACGTAACAGGCAGGTGAAAAACGTTAGGATAGCAATTGCTGTTCAAGGTCGGAAAATTCAACTCGTCGAAAGAATTGTTTCCGTGATATTTTGTCTGAAGCCCAGCACAATTAAGACTACATCGTTTTTGTTCAACTTATAGTCACAGTCGTAACAATCATAGCAAATGCTAGAACCATTGACAGGAAGTCACTTCATATATCTGAAACTAGGCTTAGACAAGCTGTGGTTACCCAGGACATTTTATACCAGTCCCAACACACAAGCGTCGCTTTATCATTTTGAGGTTCACTGTTGTATTATTCACTAATACATAAACTTCATATATACATAGCAACTCAGCAGCCCAAGGGCAGTGGAATCTGGTTGAGTTTTCTTTGAATCAAAATGCATTATATCAACAGATACACTGTAACCATTACAGACTTACATGCATCTAATAATCTCATAGATAGCAAAAAATATTATTGACGTGGCATAAATTTTCATTATATTTAGCAATAAAATACTCCCAAAATTTTATCTGCAGATAATGATAACAACTATTTTGCATCATACATATTCCAGCTCAAAAAAACATGCTCATACTTTTTAAAAAACGTGTATCAAGTTTATTAGAGTTTTCTTAATCTCAATTGAAGCCAGCTGGTGGAATATACTCAGTAAAATTACTCAGTAGACGTTGGTATCTGCTGCTTCCTCAACCTCTACTCTGTTTCAGTAACTTCCCTACTTGACCAAGTCCCTACATCTTGAGTCAACCTCATTAGTTGATGAGTTTTAGAACTTTCCCAATAGCAATAGTCTTTCCTGCAAATATGTAAACAAAAAAAAATATATTATATGATGGATAAAATTATAACAATGTAAATATATGGAAAGAAGCAAAGTGGATAAAGAGTCTGTCCAAAGACACTAACTAGTGGCCAATCCCATGACCTTTTGAGTGGAAGTCTGCATCCTTACCACTATTTGAAAACTGGGGGAAAAAGGTGAAATAAAGGGGTGGCTACACCCCTTTCTCCCCCCCCCCCCAAGTTTTGAAATATTGAATAATCTGCATCTCATTAACGGTTCCCGAGTTAGTTTTTCGTTAAATACTGTAACTTTTTTGTGTCTTATAAAAGACAGTTGTACAACATATCAAAAAATTTCAAAAATGTTTTCCTCCAGACTATGGCCTTAATTAAAATCAAATATAAAAAGAGACGTCACAAGCAACAGTTACAAAAATGACTCTTACAAACACAAATAATACCAACTTTAACATAATCATAAGAGTAAATTCATGTAAATAAAACATCTAGAATATGGTCCTAAGCTCACCTTCATCCCTCAATGTGAATCTTCCCATTTGTGGAAAGTCTTTGAAAGTTTCTAAACAGATGATACCAGCCGTCGTTAAGCAAGCAATTGCTACTTGATCTTGCTTAATAAACCGTGGTCCTTTTGTTTTATTACCGGTCTTTTTGTCCACTAAAGCAATCAGAGACTGTAAAAAGAGCACAACAAACATTTTAAAGAGCAGTTAACGTGGCTGAGCAGTAAGGCTTATTTTTGGATAAGTACCTCTCAATGACTGTTACAGTAAACATGGACCATGCCACAGCAGACACGGACCATGCCACCATAGACACGAACCATGCCACAGACCATGCCACAGTAGACACGGACCATGCCACAGTAAACATGGACCATGCTATAGTAGATACGGACCATGCCACAGTAGACATGGACCATATGGTAAATAAAGTTTTAAAAAAAGTACACAATTAATTGTGCAGCATTATTTTGTCTATACCAATATTGGGTTCAAGACAACCCTGGTACAATCCTCGAACCGTAACACTACAACAGACATGCATATTTTTTTACTCACAGATAATTGTGCTTCTTCTACAGCACTGTGGATGTGTAAGACTGCATTATATCCTGCACAGATGATTGATTTGTACTCAATTATCACAATCTGAAAGTAAATTAAATAAATATTTAAGCATCAATGTTAATATCATTTTTATAATTTATATCATCGATTTGTTTTTATTATGAATATCATTTACATTCATGTGGTGGTGGTGGTACATTCATTTCAATTTTATTACTTTAGTAATCCTCTTCCTATTTTGTTGTGGCCTCCTTCTGCTGTATGACTGATAGAATTAATCAAGTCATCACTGGATGTAATACTTCAGGGCTGGCAGAATGTTTTTCAAAGAAAACGATTCCTGAACCACAAAGAGAAAGGCTGGTTCGGGTTCGGGAATCGATGAAACCCCAAAAATAAAAGGGGGTCGGGGTCCTCCCCCGAGAAAATGTTGATTTCTAGATGGAGGGAAATGAGCTTTCCCGACTTCTAATTTTGTATTCAAGGTATTTATTCTTTATGCAGATAGAAATTTAAATGAAAAATTACACAGACAGACAGCCAAAAGACTGTATATAAATGTATAACAATAATTGCTTAAAAATTTAAAAACAGAACACCAAAATTTAAGAAACTCACAACACAAACATAAAAAAGAAACAATGGATAAAAAGCACAGCACCAGACATAAATCTAAATTAAAATGATAAAAATTGAAGAAATAAAAAAGGCATATAAAAAATTAAATTGAATTTTCTTATTGTAACAAAAAAATATAGCTAACAGGTTTTATTTTTCTTTTTTTCGCCTGGGGGGTCGGGACCACAGATCCGCCAATGTGAATTGCGAGAAACGCAATCTAACTCGGTCGGGGACTGGATAAACACTCTCTTTCCCCTCCCTCTCCTCTTTCTTCCCTCTTTCTTTTCTTGCATTTTTTCCCCTCTTCTTTTTCTTGCATTTTTTACCATCGTACAAAAAATTTCTGCCAAAAAGTTGGGGGAGGGACCTAGGGCCCCAGCAAACCCCCTCGCGGTTCCGCCGGCCACGTACCTTAACCCCCCTTTTGCATCTGTACAATATAGTAAACCATACTTTAGCATCCTGTTTGTTAGATTAATCTTACATGAACTCTCAAGCTTGTAGACAACAGTATATTACTAGAAATTGCAAATTGCAAGTGAAGTGCTGCGAAGTACAACTGCATATAAATGTTCTTCGAACAAAATTATTTATGCGAGTCAAGTGAAAATAATAAATAATAAAAATATAACAAATAATATGAGACACGACCCATTGTCTATATTAGAACACTTCTCATTGGGTGACAAAGTCGTAAATTTTCATTTTTGTCAAAAAGTGTCTATAGTGGTGAATTATGGTTTAGGGTTTTTTTTAATAAAGTTTCAAAAATTTTTATGTATGTGGAAAATGTAGTTGATTACCAAAGGTTACAATTTTTATTTTGAAGACTGCATGGTCTAGGAAGTGTACACCATCATGGCCTTCATTGGTTAGTTAATAGACAAATATTAAATTTACAGCAAACACCTGTATTTGAGAATCTGATATAGATACCTGTGCAATAAACTCTCGTCCAGTATGACATGGATTAATGGTGTCACATAGAACAAAACCGGAGGAAACATCCTATGAAACGAAAATAAAATTTTAAAAAATGGTGAGCACAATATCACAGCACAATAGAAAGATGAATATATATTAAAATAGATACTTGTGTACGAATATTAGGAGCATAACAACAATAATAATATGTAGGTTTTTATATACAACTAAGTCTCAGAGCGCTTTTCCACATTAATACCCCAGTCATTGCAACAATGCCTATGGGGGAAATTCCATAGTTTGCTGCATGAAATATTTCAGCGCATTTTTGCACTCGAACCTTCTCAGGTACTTATTCGTACTCCTGGGTGGAGAGAAGCAGTGCAGGTAAAGTGCCTTGTTCAAGGACACAGGCGAAATGCACAGCGAGAGATTGAAAACACACCATTGAGGTTGGGAAACCAAGCCTTGTTCCCGCTACGCCAAACCACTTCTCCACAATCATAAAGAGATTGTCTCTTTGAAAGGATACACGCTCAAATAATTAAGAAGTAGTATATCAACAATACAATACACCCATTATTTTTCTTAAAGACTCTGGAGGAAAAACTTTTTTTTATATATGTTGTAGATCTGATTTTTCTAAGACAGAAAAAAGCTGTTTGACGAAGAACTGGGGAACGGCGAATGAGATACAGATTTCTGAATATTTAAAAACTGGGGGGGGGGGGAAAGGTGTAAAAACGTTTTTTAAAAATCAGTTCTACAACATATCAAAAAAATTTTTTTCTCCAGAGCCTGACTTTAACACAATTTACGGGGGTGCAATCGCACCGTCTGCACCCCCTGCATCCGACCCCGGCAGGACCTGCAGTTGAACCATGCTCATATAGTGTAGTTGAAAGAATTCATGAAAATAAATTGCAACAAAAAGTTACTTACATCTTCTTCAACACCTCTGACTTTGACTTTGACATTATCACCAGCGGTAGCGCTGTTCCTCTCATCATCATCAACCAATATAGTTAACACCTCCACTGGGGTCTACCAACATTAAAACATTGAAACAAATCTAATATATGTAAATTGGGAAATTGATCCAGGAACTTGAAACAGAGTGGGCTCAGGGAGGGAATTTACAGATGGAGGGTCCAGATCACATAAACCCATGGCTATGACACCTCTAGATGGCCAGAAGTGGAACCCATACACTTAAATTTAAATGTCACTTTCTTTTTTACCCATTATTAAAAAAAAAAAACAAAAACAAAAACAAAAAAACATTTGGTCAACATTTTGGAAATAAAATCGAAACATAAACAAATATTAAACATACTGGAATAATTCACATTGCTTTTAATATGTTTAACAATTATAATGCAGAATTAATTTTAGATGAAAGACAATGAAAACAAAAATGAAAACATAAAAAAATATAATTAAAAACTATAAAGTTTCAACAAGAAAATCATGGATGCCAGTCCAGCTTGGCACTATTAGCCGTACAGCTTTTAGCTGACCTTTTCTTATTTTGTTGATGGTTTCTCCAATTCAAATTTACCTTAAAATATAAATATATTATTACATACCTTATTTGGCATCAACACTAGTGATGAGCCTTTAGAAATTTCTCCAGATTCAATTTTACCCAACAGTATCGTTCCCATATCCTGATATTGAAATTCAAAAACAAAATGAATTTTGTTAATGGAATATAAGTCCACCTTCATGTATAAGTCCACCAGCTAAATTTCAATCAGTCTTCATGGGGGTGGGTGGCTGTAGGCCCTCGTGACACCACCTAGGCCTAGACTAGACATTGTCCCGGAGGCGCGCGTCCCGGAGCTAGAGCCTCTTAGCACCGCGACGAGGTCAAGCCTAGAATGGGCCTAGCTGCGCTAGGCCTCGGGGTTGAACAACAAATCTATTCTATTTCCTTCACGGTTCCTTCATCTTTCCGCTTCACAAATTTTAGCGAAGCCATGGTTTAATTAATTTATAGAAATAATTAAGGTAAATACAAAAGTAAGCAAAAACGAGAGCGATATAATTCCAAAACGGTGTAACGGGCGGCGAATGATATGACACATGCTTTCTTTTCTTTGCAAGCTCGATGGACACACTATAGGTCCGACCACCGGATGAATAAGATTGCCATTATATATAACGCGCTTGTAGTACATGGCAGCAAAGAGTATATATATACTCTTTGATGGCAGTAACGTAAGAGAACCGACCGTTGGTTAATTAATATCACTATAACGCCACCAACATGGTGAATTTTGCTTGTGTATTTTAAATAAAGCTTCAGAGAGGAAGATGAAAAACGATTACACGACATTACGAACCGACCTCCACCACCAATACCACCCTTACTCCTGTCTCTTAAAAAAAAACTCCACGAATTTGATATAATATTGAGAAGTCAATTTCATGTTAAAAATATCATCCTTGGATTAACAGTTTTGTTAAGTGTAAATAAGTAAGTGTAAATAAATTGCATTGAAATTGAATGAACATGAAATATTTATCTACAAACATTTTAAAGCTCAACATAAGCTCAAACATACGAAATTCATCTGACAGAAATAAAATTACATAGTGATCACTCCATGCATATTTCAGGCATGATTCAACTCCAATCATAATGTAAACAGATCTGAAATCAGGGCTAATTTACGCCAGTTCTCAGAACTTGCTTGTTTATTTGATACAAAATTCTTTCCATAACGCCTACAAATGGAATGCTTGCATTGTATAGTCACTGGCTTAGTTAGGCTTAGCTAACAAAGGCTTGATAATATCAAGGTGTCTGTGAGGTCTAGATGGCATGTTTGCCTTTACGTCTAGCTGGAAATTTACTATACCATCACAGAACAATGCAACGTCCTGGCTCCTGGTTATATATAAGCCCTTCCTGCAAATTTGAATGCATAGCAACTCTTATTTTTATATGCACAAATTGTAGCAACTCTTACCTTATACTTGTCTACTACTGGCATAATAAATGGGCCATCAACAGGAAGGCGAGATATAGATAATTCATCAATATACTCAATAAATGAAGGACCCCTGTGAACATTATGAAAACAGATGTAAATACAGTATATGACATTATATATCCAATAAACAAGATTATAAATCAGTCGTGACATCATCACTTTAATTTGCACTGAATTTTCCTATCCCTGATCAACCACTAATGCAATATAGTGCTTCTAACTTCAGGTAATTTGTTCAGGAAATAATGGCTCCTTCAGCCTCTATTTTTATAGGGTCCTTAGAACTTTACTATAATTGCATATTATTATTCAACTACCTGTATGTTGAACTTTGTTCAACAGAACTTAGTACTTATCAGAGAGCTGTTATAAGTGCTGTTAGGCAGTCGTTACATATAGTATAGTGTCTGCTATTATGTATTAAATAAATATTTCATGTTACTTATTGGACAGTGAATAAGTGCTGTTATTTGGCAGTCGTTAATGCTACATATTGGGTAGTGTTATTATATAGTGTTTAAGGCTCCTTATTGGGTAGGGCTTGGTTCCACTTACATACAGTTCAATGTACTTATATGGTCTGAATTGGTGCTGCGCTAGTTAGTGTTTAATGTATAATTGATAATAGCTGTCAAAACTGTAGTTTATCAACAAACTACTGAATTATACTTACGAATACCAGGGACACTGACTGGAGAGGTCTTTGAGGTTCGCACCCGTCATTCCCGATACTGGTATAAAGTAAACATCTTTTTTTGGACTGAAACCAACTTTCTTTAGAAATGGAACAAGTTTAGACTGGCATTCCTTGAACCTTACAAAACAATGCAACAATAATTAGGCACACAGTTTGAAACAACTGCTGAGTATAGAGGGAAGTAGGAGTATTATGTACACAATGGGAATATTAAGTATTGAAAACAGAATGAGTATCTGAGTGATATTTCAGTGTTGAGTGCAAAATGAGTGTTGAGTATTGAGAGCAGTTTGAGTGTTGAGTATTAAGAGCCGGTTGAGTGTTGAGCATTTAGAGCAGGTTGAGTGTTGAGTATTAAGAGCAGGTTGAGTGTTGAGCATTTGGAGCAGGTTGAGTGTTGAGTATTAAGAGCAGGTTGAGTGTTGAGTATTAAGAGCAGGTTGAGTGTTGAACATTTAGAGCAGGTTGAGTATTAAGAGCAGGTTGAGTGTTGAGAGCAAGTTGAATGGTGAGTATTGAGAGCAGGTTGAGTGTTGAGTATTAAGAGCAGGTTGAGTGTTGAGTATTGAGAGCAGGTTGAATGGTGAGTATTGAGAGCAGGTTGAGTGTTGAGAGCAGGTTGAGTGTTGATTATTGAGAGCAGGTCGAGTGTTGAGTACTGAGAGCAGATCGAGTGTTAAGTATCGAGAGTAGATCAGGTGTTGGGTATTAAGAGCAGAGTAAGTGTAGAGTATTGAGAACAGAATGAATATGTAGAGACTACTTGATAAACATTATTTAACACCTTACCTTTCTTCTGACCACTGAACTGTAGGGTCATCCATTTTGTTTATTAAAACCACTAAATGTTTTACACCAGCAGTTTTAACTAACATAGCATGTTCTCTTGTCTGGCCTCCTCTTTCAAATCCTGTTTCAAATTCTCCTTTACGGGCTGAAATCACCTAACAGAACAATAACATGATCCAGGATAAACAAGATATTCAAATGTCTAGTTAACATTTCTTTAATATACAACCTTTGTTTGCACACAAGTTTAATTTGCTTCAAATGGCAGCCAACATTAATCACAATTGAATATGGAATGACAGCATAAATAACAAAACACAAATAGTTAACGTTACTCCATGTCTGGCCCGAAATGAAAACTGCTAGTCCCTAGAGTTATGAATTAACTACCCTGCAAGTTATTTACTATCAACATACATAAAGTCCTCAATAGGATGTTCACATTTTAAGTGGCTGTCTTACAGGATACAAAAGAAACCATGGTTATATGTAATTTGTGTCTTGCCTAAGGACTGTGAATACTGGCTTTGTACTAGCCTTTTGACACATAGTCTCAGTTATTGTTTAATTTTCCACCAATCAGCAGCAAGTCTCACTATCCAAACATTATTTCCCTGTCTGGATTCTCTGCAGACATTATTCTCCTGAAGACGATTGAAGCAACTCAATCGAAACGTTGAGATATACTCAACAAACAACGGTTCTTTTCAGAACCATCTACGTGGCGTACCACAAGCATTAATGTATTAATTCGCCATGCAAGCCTTTAAACAATATATGTTATTTACTATGGTTTAAACATTAGAACTTCAGAGACAGGTGATATTTTAAAGGGATTAAAAAAAAACCGACATACCAACACGGCTAAATCTGCTTGGGCAGCGCCACCAATCATGTTTGGTACAAAGCTCCTATGGCCTGGTGCATCTAGCATTGTGAAATGCTTTCTGTCTGTTTCAAAATAAGCTCTACCAACCTCAACGGTCTTCCCTTTGTCTCGTTCCTCCTGATTTGTATCAAGGGCCCATGATAAATACCTGATAATAAGCAGGGTATTTTAAAAATCACTCCAAAACCCTCTACATTTCTATTAAGTATACAATTATTAGTGGTGACATTACAATTAATACTCCTGGTCAATGGTACAGCTCCCATGGTATCTATAATGTTGCAGCTACAATCAACGCATTGTATTTGAGGCATGTTGTGGCGAAATGGTTAAGTTGTCGCACAGGCCAGTATTGAGTAAATGAGCTTTAAAATATGGGAGCTCAAAAAATTGCCTAAAAATCCAATTTTTTTTTTGACTATAAATCAACAGTTTAATGTATTATTAATCATGTCCCAAAGTATTAGTTCTTGAAGTGGTCACCAAATTGTTTTTTTAATGTTATTTAGATAGTTAATCCTATTAAACAATGTATGCACAAATAACTTTGGAAGGCAATTACTCAAAATCACTTTCCAATAACTTGGGCTTGAAATGTCCAATTTCAATGAATGACCCCTCATTTTAAAGATCTATCATATACTCAGGTATCTGAAAATACCAATAAGTTGAATTTCAATTTTTGCTACAACTTAGCCATTTTGCCACAACATGCCTCATTTTGTTATTTATTTGTTATTTGGTATTCATTCTATTTTTTTTGGTCATTGGGTCCACATGCTTAAGTATTGCTACCATATTGCCGCAGCAGCTGGCAACCCCACAAAGAACACATTTATATACTGGGTGGAGAGAAACAAGCGTAGGTAAAGTGTCTTGCCAATGGCACTAACAAAATGCACAGCGAGGGATTGAACCTCTGACCTCTTAGAATACTGCATCCAACATTTGTAAAATTATCTCATTTACATTGAGAAATGTGAATTTGGCAACTTACCAACTTTCTCTGTTTTTTTCTCGTGCTTCCCTTTCATACTTTTCCAGAGTTCTTTTGTCTACTTGCCCAGTTAGAAACCTAAAGTAATACAAGTAATAAGCATTATTTGTTTCTGCCTTCCAATATCAAAAGAAGTCATTTACTTAATTTCTTGGGTGTGTATCTACTGTGAATTCATATCAAAATGACAAGAATTATTATCTATAATTCATCCGATTTTAGAGGTATTTTTGTATTTTATAGTTTTTTTATTTGGATTTTTTGGTATTTTCATTTTGAAGAATTATTATTATCATTACCATCATCATCATCATAAGATAAGGTTTTTATAAATAATGTTTAATATTTTGGGAGATGGAATTGAAGGGGCACAGCTATTTGCCTCTCCCCAGCTTCCCTCTTTCTTTCTCATTGTCTTTGTTTTCTTGTGTCTTTTCTACTGTTATTTGCTGGAAGAAAAAATAATAAAATAAGGTGTTTGCTTACATTATGTGGCCTCCAATGGTCGATTTACCAGCATCTGTAAAACACAAAACAATGAAATGACATTAAAACACAATCGTGTTCTTAATGACTTGCATACATTGCCAAGTATCATAACATAATGTTATTCTACTCAGAGCAGGCTAATTCAAGATTTCTTTCAGAAAATCAGTTGCTACATCAACATCACAAACCAGAACCCTGCGGGTGTGTACGTTCCTTTGTACGTAAACGTAGTTTAGAGGGATTTGTAGTCCAGTAATGGTTTCTAATGTTTTTACGTACACCTACACCGTCCTTCAAATGCTTTATATTTACATACCTGCCAACATTCGAATATCAAAAATAGGGACGCTACTCATTGGTGACAAAAAATTAAGATGGCAATTATATATCCTAATTCCTGTACAGTTGCTTCACTGCTAACTGCGGCTAAAGTAAAGATAGACAACACCGCGGTCCGTCCCTGAAAAGACCTGCCCAGTGGGCTGATCGGATCGTTAATTCACAGCGTGAAGACTCGCATATTTCCATTCGCTGCTAAAAATAACTCGTTACATCATGCAAGACTGATTTCTTCGCCCGAATATTGTTATGATAGGCTATTGAATCGTAGGTGAAAACCACCTTGCAAAACGATCGTCATTTCCGTCTGTTCATACACTAGGCCTAGAGAATCCCGGGGTATAATTCCCCCCCCCCCAAAATCTGGACAGTTTTGCGTTCATGGGGATGGGATTATACCCGGGGAACCACGGACTAATATTCCCTTCATCACACTGGCAAGTAGTGGATACTTCTTGCAATTATTTTTTTTTTTTTAATTCTAAAAATAGGGATGTCCCTATTTTTTTTTTTTTTGACATCGGAAATCGGGACGTCAATTTGAGATAACAAATTTTGAAGTATGATTAACATTTTCGGGTATCCAAAGCTGTCATGTCCTAAAAAGCTCCCACCTTAACCCAAACCATGGTAGGGCTGGGGTGGTGTTGGGTTACACCACAAAATGCCATTTTTATTTTTTCACAACTTGGCAGATTTGCCACTGTTTTGAACTTGACTGGTCAAACCACAGAACCAAGGTTGGCGGTTTTAGAAGTCAAACTTATCCATTTATCATCTACTAAAATAGTCTTCATTGTTTGACATACCTCCATGGTTTGACAATAACAAATTTTCTTTCGTTCTTCAAAATCTGCTTAGTGACACGCATGCGTAATAAGTAGAATAGTTATCACAATAACTAACTATAACCACTGCTCTGCATACTGCATGTCACGCATGCACTGCATAGTGGTAGATAAAACTTGCCTCGGTCAATGATTTATTTTCGAGTTTGCAGAGAGTTAAGAATACAGAATACTCATTTATTTTACATATTCAAGTATACATGACATGACTATGTTGTAAACCAGTAAAATTACACAGCAGTCGTAAACAAAAAGCTTCATAATACTGAGGACACGTACGTTTTTCTGTGTTTAAAGTGCAGTAACTGTGCACAATTTGTTTTTTTCTGCACCACTTTCTTTTGGTTTTTTTATATATAGGCCTAGAGGAATTTCATTTCAACGATATTTCTGTGTTTGAAGTACAGTTAAACTGTACACCAGGTTTTCGCGGAATGCATTTATGCTACATATTCAATCGTTACAAATACTCTTGATTTTTATTTTGTCGCGGATTATTGTTTATTGATCTGTATGGTAGTCTTGTGGTAGACCAATATATTATTTATTTTAACAAGACTGACTGAATGCTGCTGTCGTCGTTGTCGTGTTTTGTACGTATTGCATACCAACAGCAACGTCAATTGCCGTGTTCATCGTGTGTAAAAGACTTTAGGTAGGCAAGCACATTCGATTCATTCATGTTACACCTACTAGACGACAAGCAGTAGTCGATTTACCACAACTACCTAAGTTCACGCTAGGGCCTACCTAGACGTTTGCATAAACAACACAGACAACTTCTCTAGTGTAAAGTGTATACTCTCGCGATAGAAAACAAAATTTCCGCAAAATATTAAACACGTTCGATCCAATACCATTATGTAAAGACCGTGTTTGGTTAGATCACTTTTTTTCAT